TCATGCACAGTCCTGCTCTTCATTCGTACAAGTGTAATTTCCTACAGCTTATCCACTTCGGTGGCATTATTGTCATTTAGTGGCATGGGACAGTCCTGGAGGGAAATGGTGGTTTTTGTTTTGATGTCCTGCGTGAGTGGTTACCCAGCACTTGGGAGATGCTGAAAGCCACCCCCACCTTATGGTGAAACGCTAGTCATTTTAAAACCAACTGTGTAGCCAGAAGTGTGTCTGTTGTCAAGAGTAGCTCCAGTGGCCTTGGTTGTGCTCTGTGACACAGTTCTGCTCACAGGTTTAGCTTTTGTGTCTGAGTAAGAACACACAGAGGGAAGGAGGACTGCTGGGCGCTGTGGCCTCCGCTCACCCGTCATGTGCATCACAGATAACCTGAGAGCATCTCCATCCCCTCAGGGAAAGCACAGCTGTTCCGAATGCCGTGTGTGTTGCTCAGGGTGGGTTCCGGGGGCCTTGGGTGCTAAGAAGTAGCGTTAACGTGTTCCTTTTCCCACCAGCGCTATACACAGAGCAACGGGCGCAGGCCGTTTGGCATCTCTGCCCTTATTGTGGGTTTCGACTTTGATGGCACCCCCAGACTCTATCAGACTGACCCCTCAGGGACATACCATGCCTGGAAGGTGAGTCCCTGACCAGAGGGTCTTCGGGTGGTCTTGCCAGTGAAGGAGGTTGCAGAGGCCAGCCTAGTGGCTCAAGGTGGCCTTGTCCTCCCAGTGTCTGTGCACACTACACACCACCTGTCTGCTCCACGATATTTCTGCTGATAATGGGAGCAAAGAAGTCATGACACCTGCCCTTTGAGACAAAGTCCAAGGACAGTGAGGTGTGGGGATACGTGGCATAAAGTCAAATTGCCTAGGTGTTTTCAGTCATGAAAAAGAATCCCACTCTTGGTGAGGATCAGCATCAATTTCAAAAAGCCCTTCGGGAAAGGAAGCCATGGAGCAGGGCCTGGAATCTACCTGCTGCCAGGCTCCCTCTCACTGGGACCCATGGCTGGCTTGGCAGCCATGGCCATGTTCTTGAGCTGGCTCTGGACTGTCGTGCCTTATACCACATGACACATTTTCGTTTTAGGCCAATGCCATAGGCCGGGGTGCCAAGTCAGTGCGTGAATTTCTGGAGAAGAATTATACTGATGAAGCCATTGAGACAGACGACCTGACCATTAAGCTGGTTATCAAGGCCCTCCTGGAAGTGCGTTTGCATTTGAAACTCGGTGCTTGGGCTAGGCAGAACGGATGGCACAGAAGTGGGCGGCCACAGAAGTGGGCGGCCGGGGGCAGGGGGAGGCGCTGAGAGTATGGGCAGTAACACTGGGCCCCTGAGGGCTTGCTCTGACCGGGGTACTCTAGCAGCTCCGTCCCGCGGCCGGAGCAGTCAGGGACCAGGTCTGAGAGTGCACAGATAAGGAGAAGCAGAGGCAGGACAGGAACCGCCAGGTGTGGACTCTGCCACTCAGAGCCCGCCCAGCCTTGCTGAGGTTCCTGCTGCTGCTGAGGTTGGGGAATTAGAATGGAGAACGGTGCCTGGGAGTCATGAGGCCTTGGGCTGCGTCAGCACTTCAGAGGTGCTGGCAGGTAAAGCCAAAGAGGCAGAGGGGGAGTCAGAAGGCCAGGCTGGGGTCCAGCTGTCGGGGCTTAGTGGTGGGGAGGGCTGTGAGCATAGCCGCTCTGTGGAAGAAGGGGCTGTGGAGAGCCCTGCAGTTAGGACAGAAGCTCTGGGGGTTGGGGCTGCAGGGTGTCCCCCCCCTCCCCTCGAGGGGCAGTATTTGAGGCTTTGCCAGAGCTGTGTTGCTGTGTCTGACGCTATTCTTTCTTCCAAGGTGGTTCAGTCTGGCGGCAAAAACATCGAACTGGCTGTCATGAGGCGAGATCAACCCCTCAAGGTAGTCACTAAGTTTATTTGCTTTCATTCTGGAGCATTCCTGGTGATGCGGGGGGCAGGGACCCTTGTCCTGCAGCTTCAGTGCTAGGAGAGAGGTTCTCCCAAGGCCTCCCACAAAGGATGTGCTCTGGACACACTGAAAAGCTGTCAGCAGCCCAGCAGATTTGCTTCTGCTTTTCCGTTGCCTACAGGCAGGCTCGAGACTGTTGTCACCTGGATCAGGCGCACCCAGGCTGGTTTTCCTGTAGAAGCAGCTGTGAGGTGCAGTCTGGCCCGAGCCCGAGAGTTCCCTCCCCCGAGGCGGCACTGGTCCTCCAGGGCACCTTGTGCGGCTGGGGGGCTGACCATAAACTCTCTCCGGTAGATTTTAAATCCTGAAGAAATTGAGAAGTATGTTGCTGAGATTGAAAAAGAGAAAGAAGAAAACGAAAAGAAGAAACAAAAGAAAGCATCATGAGGATGAAATCTTACAGTGATTTTTACATTCAGATCATGGATGATTCTCAAAATGACATGTAGGCATTTCCATTCCATTTACTGTCCACGTGTCCTGCAATAAATTTCCGTATTTGTTAACCTTTTCTTAAGAGCATCTGTGTCTTGGTGGAATTATGACCGCTCCGTAGAGTGGAGTCTTCCCCTCAGCTTGTGTCTCGGGAGTGCTGTCCTTAGTGGGAGCTCTCCTTCATGTTCCTTGTCACCAGGCTCTGAGACAAGGCACTGGTGGCGGGCAGGGAGTGTCCGCCTTACTGGTTTGAGTCCATGCAGAGCATGATGGCTTCTGTAGACAGAGGTGCGTAGCACTTCACATGGACACACAAAACGCCCATGTTTCCCTCCTTTAGAGGTTCTAACCAGACCGACCTTGTTCCTTAGAGACCTTCACGCAAGTTCCTAATTCACACAGAACACGAGGGACACAAGCACAAACAGCACTCAGTTAAGTGTTTGAACAAAATTCTGCCGAGCAGCGGCTGGGTTCTGAACAAGTCCCGTATTTCTGGTTTGTAGTAGATCAAGTCTTAACATTGCTGTCCTCTCCCCCAAGATTCCTGGTGCTGACGGCCCCCTGCTCGCTCTCACTCTAGCCAGTGACTGCCCTGCTTTCATTGAGCCTCAGTCCTGGCCCTCAGCTAGGTCTCCGCAGGAGACTCTAACCCCTGCGCCCGCAGCTTTGCTGCTGCTTGGGACGCTCTGCTAGCAGGCCTGCTGACAGAATCCCCTTCTGTCTCCCTGTGCCCCGAGGACGTGGCACAAAGGACTCGGCTTTCTGCTCAGTTTACGGCTTCTCTTGCTGAGTTCTCACTGAATGGCGCATACACATTCTATTTTCTAAAAAGGAACAGAAAGGCCCAGGTAGATTTTAAGTTCAGCATAAAATATGTAATTATCAAAATGTCAGTTTAAAATTTTAATAGCAAAGTTAGTCATAGTGGTAAACTGACTTGACTATATTTAGATTTGCCAGCAGAAATACCTGTCTAATGCAACTGCTGAGTCACCTACTTAGTTTAGAATCAGCGCCCCGGCTACCTGCATCTAGCATGTACGCTATGGAAGGTTTTCATTTCTTCCCGGCCAAGGATGTTCCTTGTCTGTGCCCACCCCCGCAAAGGAAGGTTGCCAAGAATTTGTTGAAATTTTGAAAGTGACAATGGGGCCCTGATGTTGCAGGCTGACTCCCCGCTGCCTGGTCCTGCTCTGGGCAGGCATGGAGGGAGATGCGACACGGCGGACAGGATGGGCCTTAGGTCGTCTGACACTGCTTTCAGAGTCAGCCAAACCCATGACAGCCAAATGGGCTGCTTTCATGCATGGTGCTGGGGTCCAGCCCCGTAACAGGCCTGACGGTACCAAAGATGTGCAAGCTCTGGGGAGCTTGGAGGTTGTAGTAAAGCAACAAAGGGACTGCTTCTGAAGCAAGTTTATCTGTGAACTGAATTTTTAAAACTAGTTTGTGTCCCAAGTGTCTGGAAAGCAGAGCCACTCATTCCAGGGAGGTGGCCCGCTGTGAAGTTGGGCTGACCCATGCCCTTTCTCCAGAGCAGCCAGGGCAGTCTCACTCGAACAGATGTCCCCCAGGATCCTACCAGCCTGAGGCCGGAACATGCCCCAGGACGGGCGTGTCAGACATGAGGTGACTCAGGCAGCAGAATCAACAGAACTATTTACTTTCAGAGCAGTAAAAAAAAAAAGTTTTAAAGGTTTGCATGTTTATTTATAATTACAATTTACATTACTCCAACAGAGCAGCCCATTGCTATGTTCTAATTCTTAGCCATTAAGTCCTACAAAAATAAACCCAAGCTTTTACAGTAACTGAATCAATACAGAACTAAAACCTTTATAGCTATTTAAAGGGGTTTAGTTACCAAGGTGCTTATGTTCAACACAATGCCCTCTCCAGAAGAAGGGCGCATGCTTACACTAAAGGTCTGACCCATTTACTCATGCAACAAATTTATATTCCCCACCCGCCCTCCACCCACTGTAAAACAAAAACACAACTATTTACAATTGAGAAGAAATATGTTCTCGGTCAACCGACCTTGCAAAAAAGACTGGCTCATTTCCAAGTGGGTGAGACACTGAACAGTGGCCAGAGTTCAAGACTGACTGGCCTGGGTCTGGGGATGGCAGGGGCAGGGCAGGAAGGATAGGTATCCCACAGGGGGCTTGCCCTGGGCTTTGGCCCCCAACCCCGATTCCTATGGAAGTCAGGCTCTGAACGACAGTTCCTAGCTTATGTTCAGGACCCTTCCTAAGCCCCCAGGATTCCCCCTCTTCCCCCCCACAACCCACCAGCCCTTAACCTTGACATCGCCACTCTGGATGTAAGGGTTGTCTGGTTTGCTTATACAACATGATCCGTGGGACACCCCACTTTCCCTGCCCTAAAGCCCACCCCCATACACACACTCCCATGCTGGCCCTGCCTGGCTCCTGAGACCCCACCTGTGCCCATGGGGGTGCCAGGCCAGCAGCACCAGAGGCCAGTTGGGTTATAGAGATAAGCTTGGCTGTCACATTGGCCAAATGAAATTTGGTTCCACTTTAAAAAAGTCAAAGCTGTCACAAAAAAAAAAAAAGCCACAAAGTGAGGATCAAGCTTTTGCTCTAGAAATCTTCTTCCAAAATACCAAAACCTTAGAATTAGGCTGTGCGCAACTAAAGAGGAAAGACAGGCCAAGATACCTCAAAGAGGTTACCCACAAATACTTCCCCCAAAACAAGTGGTTCTAACTCAGACCACGTCCAAGTTCAATTAAGTCCAAAACATAAGTAGTAGTACGGGAATTTTCCAAACTCCGTAAACAAAGTGACCCACGTCTCCCCAGTAAGTGCAGCGTTTTTCCAATATCCTCAGACACAGCTTTGTTTCGGTACTACTTCCGCAGGCGCCTGCAAGAAGGGGACAGGGCACCAGGTGAGTACGCTCAGCACATTCCGCCAGGCAGCCACCCAGCGTGAGCCAGGCACACAGCCTCCCAGGGAGAACAGGGATGCTCAGCCCCCCTCACACTTCAGTCAGGCCCAGGCCCCCCAGACTTTGCAATCACAACCAACGATGGAAATCATCTTTGTACACACGGGGGACAGGAAGCTCCGGGTCCCTCCTGGCCGGGGCAGGTCAGCATCAGGCACACCTGTAACCCATTCACCGCCCAGACCCACGGAACACAAGTCACCGGGACCTTGGTGATGTAGTCTCAGAGTCCCTGCAGGCCGGGGCGGGGAGGCTGGCTTGGGACAAGCTGTTCTTGCTGACCACACTCTGACAACACCGGGGCCTGCCCTCCCCAGGAGCCCCCTGGGTGACTGGGAGGGTCCGGGCCCTCGTCTTGGCCTGGATTCCTGGAGGCTTCCCCTCTTACTGGAAACCAGAGCCAACTGTCTCCCGGCTCCTGAGCTCTTCCTGCAGAGGCTGGTTATCAGGCCCTCCCACCAAAGGACCCAGAAGCTTCCTTCCCTCACTCACCTTGGGCTGCATCCTTACACCCTGCCAGTCCCAGCTCTGTGGGAAGTTGGGTTGCGACGGGCTGTACCGTTGCCCCTGCCCCCTCGAAATCCACCCCTGAAGCTACGGCCGCGAAGAAACCTTCCTGACACCCCAAAGGTCTCTGTGTTGAGCTTCCGTTCCTCAGCCCATGTAGTCCGCCTGGAACTGAAGCACAGACAGGTACATGAGACCAAAGGCAGCAGTACATGCTCACCACTTTCTGAGCCAGGCCCCAGCCTCACATAGCACGGGAGGAAGGAAAGCCGAGCAGGGAGGGACTGTTGCTGGAGCCAGCAGAGGGGGTGACCCAGTCCCGACCCTGCAGCCAGAGAGCCAACACTGCAGGTGCTCCCAGCCACATCTCCAACCAGGTCTGTTTCTCACTGGACTAGGCTGCTCAGCATCAATTCTCACGCCTTTACCAACAAAGGTGAGCACGCGACACTAGACAGTGCCCCTGTGGGTTCCAAGACCCGGAGCAGACCACGGACCCCTTCAGACAAGTTTTTAGGATGTGAGGAGGAGCTTGGGCTGGATGGAACAGGGTCTCCAAGAATGTGATGCTAATGCTCTGGGGGGAGTGGGGACATGCACGCTGCCCCAGCACCCTTCATACTGAGGATGCTGCAACACCCACCTCTGTAGCTCAGGGGCGAACCCCCGAGTCTGTTCACAGGCAGCTCACAGGCCACACACCCAGCACTGAGCTCCTGTTCTATGGCCCCCACAGGCCTCACTTCAAAGAACCAGCAGCTGCCCCCTTCAGCTGCCCAGGCCAACAACCCAGAGAGTTGTGCTGGTTCTCCCCACATCCAGTCAGCAAACCCGGTCTGCTCCCCCTTCAAGGTGCATTCATAAGCCAAGCTCTCTCCTCTCCCACCACTTGCCACCCTATTCCCAAACACCCAGACTACTGCGAAAGCCTCCAGATGGGCCACCCAGCCTCACGCCGGCCCACCTTCAGCATGTTCAACAGAAAGAGCTGCGGGATCAGATGGCATAGTTCCTCAGCTCCGACCTTGACGGCTGCCCACGGCTCTCAGCACGAGCTGGTCGTCACTATGACCTACTACTAAGCCCCACACGCACACGTCCCCCTCATCCCGGACCGACTCTCTTGGACTCTGCTCTAGCATGAGGCAGATGCACACTGCCTGCCTTGCCCCGGCAGCCCGTCTGCAGACGCTTCCTTCATTCCCCCCAACGCTGGCTCCCAAACAACACATGGTGTGAGACCTGTACACTCAATAATTTACCTTTACCCTCCCACTGCCCAGCCTCGCCCCACCCCGTTCCCGGAAGCATTTCTATCCTAGGCATGCACATGTTTTTATCGTTTTTTTCCCCTGCCAGGATAGAGATGTGGGCAAGCAGGGACCCCCAGCTCGCTCTGTGCCGTGCTCTTGACACCCAGCAGTGTCTGGCGCTCCGAGCGCAGAACGAATGCGTCTGGATTTCCAAGCTGCGCCCACTCTATGGACTCCGTTTATCACTCCAGCCTGGTCTCACGGCAGCATCTGAGCACCAGCTGCGAGACACTAAAAACGCATGACGGGGTCCCCAGCCGCCAGCAGTAAGATGAAAGAACACCCCAAACAGAACACTGGCCAGCGCTGCGAGTAGCAAGGGCCTCAGACCCCAGGGTCCACGGGGACCCAGGAGCGGGCCAGGACGAGGTGCCGTGGAACCGAACGACGCAGCTGCTCAGCCACGGAGGGCAGTGCCGAGCCCAGCCTTGACGGACAAAGGGGCTGCAAAGCCAAGACGAAAGTCGGAGCTGGACCTTGGTCAGACCCCTCACATGCCTGTGACTGCTGGGGGTTCCCACATTGCCACCTGCTGGTGCCACTAGGACCGATGTACCCACAGGGCAAAAATGTGAGTAGGATCCTAGATTGACCCTGAACTTAGGTCTCAGGCTGGTCTTCAAGAGAGCGTGCCCTAGTCTCAGGAGGTTTGAGGCAGAATGAGGGTCTGGACCTGCCAGCTCATCCAGGCCTCATGAGCCCCGAGCCCAGCGCCCTCCCGGCCCCTGACCTGGTCTTGAGCTCAGAGGAGATGTTGTCAAAGAAGGACTTGGACTTGTCATAGTAGCAGTTGGGCCCCAGGTGGTCTTCCTCAGCAGGAGCCTCATCACTCTGGGTCACCACTGCTGAGTCTTTCTCGTCCCCCTTCTCAGCTTTGTCATCTGCGCGGAGAAGAACACACTGGGATGCCAAGAAGCAAACAAAGCACCCCTTCTACCAGAGTGGACCCTCTTGGCAGGTGTCCTCAAGCCTCAGAAGTGCTGCAGAGGGGTCTTCAGGGTTAGTGGAATCCCCTCCTCGAATCCTAACCAGTCCTGTCCACCCTGGGGCCACGTGGTCTGCTCCTCCTCCCCTTGCACAGTTTGCACAGGGCCCCAAGGCTCCTCCTCATTCAGGAACTCCTTAGGGGGCGCTGCTTCCACACTGGCCACTGGCCCAACTGCCCAGCCCCTCCCCGCTGCCCGTCCTTCCTTAACCTGCTTCTACAGATACTCCTTGGCGGAGAGAGCAATTTCCGAATAACGACAAACACCTTTAAAATTCAGTTTCTTCTTAAACTCTTTGTCCAGCTCCTCTCTGTTGAACTGGGCATTGGCGCTCTCAAAATCAAAGTCGCCTTCAAACTTGATTGTGTTTTCTTTGACATTAGTCGGGCGGTTTTGCCCTCTGGAGCGATTCCTTGTTCGTCTGTTCCCTGTAAGAAAGGAAAGCCATGGCTGGTAAGCTACCAACCTGACATTACTCAGTGTGAGATGGATGATGACAGGAGGGAACAGAGCACACAGAAGCAGACACTGAGCCCCAGCACCCCCTAAAACCGTCACCCACAGGGACAAGGCGGGGGGGGCAAGCAGAGCACATCTGGACAGTTCGAGGCTCCCCAGAACTCAAGTGGCAACAGCTGTTACCTGATCTCCTCCTCTGAGGTCTTCTGTTCTCGTCATTCACCTGCCCTTGACTTTGCACAGCTGCCGGCTGAACTACATCTAAGGCGCAAAAGGTAAGAGTAAGGCAAGCGCCTACAAAAGCGGAGCCCAGCGATGGAAGCAGGGTGGCACCACCACGGGGGACATGCAGCAAGGGGAGGCCCTGCAAAAGCACATGGTGTTTAGGATGGGGGCAGGGATCAGTGTTTTTTAATTAAAAAAAAAAAAAGAGAGAGAGAGAGGAGAAAAAGAAGAAGAACCCCAGGCAGCAGCGTGCCGCTTTGAGAACATGAAGCCAACTCCGGAGGAACGAAGTGTTCTAGTACCGCTGCTGGTCTTGCTGCTTGGCTGGGCGGGGCGCCCGCTGAGCTGCATCCCCACTGGGCCCTTGCCAGGTAACAGCTTTTTGGCGTTCAGGTTATCAACAGAACCAGTCTGGACAGCCTGCTCCACCATGGGGCTCTTGCCGACTGGGACGGATGGAAAACCAGCTCCTGAGATGGGAGGGGAAGGAGGGCTTAAAACCAGAGAGGAGAGAACCTCACGCCCCTCCAGCCATTCCTTCTGGGTGGCATGCCAGGCAGTTGGAAGGTTACCGCCTCGAGACTCTCCCAATCCCCACCAAACCTCCCGGACCACCCCCTCTTGTCTAGCCAGGTGGTAACAAGGCCAGTTCATCCGGAAGCCCTGAGCCCCAGGATCCCCAAGCTAGGGAACGCCGAGGAGAGAAAAACACCCTGCCAAAAATGAACACCTCCCAGGTGGTTCAGAAACAGCTTTCCAGGGTAGGGAGGGGGACACAGAAAATAAACGAACAAACAAACAAAGCTTTCCAAAAACCACAGAAGCTCTAACCCCAAGGGGGCTCCATGGGTTCCAAGATGCTGGCAAATTCACGGTCTGAGAATTTATTTCGTTCCAGTCCACGCTGGACAAGAACCATCCCAGTCCAGGATCTTGTAGTAAATACAGTGATCACTCTTTAAATTCTAAAACACTGTTGTGTCTGCTTGAGAAATAACAACATCGAAAAGGATGCTGTAATAAAAGCCGACTAAAGAAAAGTAACACATCTGGAGGAAACGAAGGCTCCCAGGCCGCCCCCGGAGTTGGGCCGCGTGAAGTCTGTTCCTACAACACCGCAGCCCCCAGCCCTGAGCACGGCAGCTGTGAGCTCAGAAGCCGAGCCTTGGAGGTCTCAGCTCCCAAGGTGTCTGCTGAGGCAGGGAAAGGGAGAGGGCATGCCACCCACACTGGCCCATCTCCTCTCCTCCCCTCCCTGTACGGTCTAAGGGGGGGGCGGGGGTGCTGGGTGGAGGTCCAGAGCTTTGACCCAGAAAAACTGAGCCCTAACCGCAGAGGTAACTATGATGAGAGGCAGCCCGTCACATGTGAAGACTGGCTCTTTCACCTTTCCTATTTTCCACGTGGCACAGACACTAAGGCAACGACTGAAAAATCCCTCATGGCCAGCACAGAAGCTGCTCGTGGCCTCGCACCCTGGCACCTGCAGGCGCGCTCAACAGGCACCACCCTAGAGCACCCTCCCCGGCCTGCCACCTTGCCCAGCAGGGCCTTCCCAGAGACACAGCCGGACTGCTCCTGTCACACTCTAACTTGAGGGGGCAAGACTCTCAGGCTCCTTTGCTTTTGAGAAAACCAAACCAGTTAAACCATCTTGCCTTAGTAGCAATTTCATGCAAACAATCCAAAGAAAGATGAACTGTTTAATATAAGTTTTAACCGGGAAAAAACGTTACTGCTTCTACAACTCGAACACACTGGCGTCCACGCAGGAGCAGAAAGCGACACGTGCAAAGTAACAGACTGACAGTAGTCGTGTGCCACAGTGGAAGCTCCGGGCGCGATCTTGGACCCAGCCTCTGCAGTGGTGAGGGCAGAGCTCCTGTGCTCTAACTCAGTCAGGCACGTGAATCTCCGCTCTCCAATGAAACGAGAACATCAGGAAAGGTCAAGAAGCCCCAAGAGGTGCCACAGCCCAGCTAAGACAGGTGGTGCACACCAGCATTAACAAGCTGGTCATTAGGTTGGGGCGCCTGGGTGGCTCAGTCGTTAAGCGCCTGCCTTCGGCTCGGGTCATGATCCCAGGGTCCTGGGATCGAGCCCCGCATCGGGCTCCCTGCTTTAAAAATAAAATCTTTAAAAAAAAACAACAAAAAAACAAGCTGGTCATTAGGCCCACACTATCCACCTGGTCAACAGCTCGAGCAAGTCTCCCAATTTTAAAGGGGCTTCACATTATAAAGACACCTAAGGCCCCTTGGATGACTGACAAATGTGGCACACAGATCCCAGAACAACACATGAGTTTCTTAGAGACACTCTCCTGCAGTCTCACCCAGCAATCTAGAACACATGTGGGACCAGCAGAAACCTCAGGGAAAGGCTTTCTGTGCAGAGGAAAAGTTCCCATGTCTGGCAGTCTCAGTACAGATCAAAACTGACCCTGGGCCCAGGGAGAGTGCAAGTGCTTGGTCAGTTCTTTCCAATCCCTTCTTTAAAACTCTGGGAGTTCGTTAATAAATCATGACTATGTACTGAATCGAATGGAAGCAGCTTAATCGACCCTTGGGCTTGGCTACAGCTACTGTCACTCTGGGCTACTGGTTTACCCCCTTGCTCTCAGGATGGCAAGACAGCATGCAGCTCTCCCAAACTGCGGTTACCCTTGGAAGTGAGCTGATGTGGCTCTGAGGACATGTCAAGCTCTGAGGCGGGCTGTGGAGATGGAGAGGAACTAGGGCTGGAAGCTGCGGCCGAGGCTGGAGGGCTCACCAGCTTCTCTAAAAGAAGACAGAGGAGAGAAGAGCAAAAGAGAAAGTACACAAATAAGTAACGAGACACTCGTCCTGTGTCTAGCAAGCTTGGAAGGAGCCAAGCAGTCCCTCGTAGGACACGTGGCTCACAAAAACCTACTCTAGAAACACAGTGAGCCAGGCTGACAAGGGCACCCACACTAGGAGCAGCAATCAAGACAAGCTGATTAAAAAGTGATCTAAGAACCGGTCTACAGGGCCTGCTCACAGCCCTACGCTTGAATAGGAGCCTGCCAACTCCAGGGTTTGAACACATTGCAAAGCTGCGTCCAGGGCCAGGTAGACTCTCACTCTACACGTGCGGAAGAGAACCTCATTCCAGAGTTAGTTCACCTTTGGGGAAATAACTTTTGAGCAAAGCAATGATAATAAAATGATTACAATAGATAAGATGTTGATTCAACTTTCGTATTTACAGGTTTACAAACGTGCCAATAGTTAGAACTCATCTGTGATCGCACATAACATTTGTTTCTTATTGAAGCAAATGTATCATGACTTCCACCCAGACCGACATTTCAAATAAATTTTGATTTGATTCATCTGTTCCAAAATTCAGACTGCTAACTCTTTTACTCTCAATTGAGTAATTACTAAGCATTCTAACTAGCTGAAATTGCACTGAGTAATGTACTAAGCATGTGATACAAACTGAATATCACAAGAACAGTGTCCCCACTCTCAGGGTCTGTGGCCCTGCTTCCTGGAGGTCACAGCACGAGCAGTTTACCAGATAGAAACAGGTTACTCACCTAGGCCCAAGGAAGCGGCATACTGCTGGCTAAGCAGAGAGCTGGCAGCCAACTGGCTGTAGGGTGGCATCCCTCTGAAGGGGCTGTAAGGCACGTGTGGCTGGAAGGAGGAGGCCGAGCCCGAGCCCAAGGAAGACTGAGCAACGAGACACACAAATGAGAGCAGCACAAGGCCCTCCCATCACCCGCCTGGAAAGCACCGCTCAGACAGGGAAAAGCAGCCTGATTTGTCAGCCTCTCAGGCTGGAGGGAGCAGGTTACGTTTCCAGGATGATCTAAGGGAGCTCAAACCTGCCTTTCCCACATTTCATATCCAGCACTGCCTGTCCAGGTAACCCGAACCTCAATTTCCCCTAACTCAAGCCCTGTAATGACACCCCACTGTCATCAAATAGTTTAGCCTCTGTGTGGGTATGCCATCCTCGATTTGGTTCTGTCCCAACACAGGAGCACAGCCGTGAGGTTCCCAGACAAGCACTCTTTCTCTGGTCCCCACACCTTCAGGGACACTGCTGCCTGTTGCTCCCAAAAGGCCCCTTTGTCCCTCGAGGCCTGGCTCAGGTACTTGCCTCTTCTGAAGTCCCTGACAACTCTGGCTGCAAACCTTTCCTAAGTCTGGCCCGGGGCTCCTCCACATGTCCCAGAATCCCCCACGCATGCTCCTATCTTCCAGGGAGCACCTCCCATAGTATGAACCTCAGAGGAGCCAGGGAATCTTTAAATTTTAAGTCAAGAGAATATTAACTGAGGCTCCCTGGTAATCCTAGGCAAATTATGCCTTAATGGGAACACCTGGTCATGTTAAGCAACTGCCTTCGACTCAGGTCATGATCTCTGGGTCCTGGGATCTGTCCCGCATCTGGCTCCCTATTCATTGGGGTGTCTTCTTCTCCCTCTCCCCAATGCCCACCCCCCTCCCTCGTGCTCTCTCCCAAATAAATAAGATCTTTAAAAAATAAACAAAAATTTTTAAAAAGTTATGCCTTAGCGCAGCAAACAGGTGTATGGTGTAAGAATTGCAAATTCACTGTCCCACAACACTGGAATTTAAAATCTAGACAGTGTCAAGAGAGCAAGTCCTGCTGTCCCAACCCAAATGTGAGGACAAACACAATTCCCCAAACACCCCGGACAAGACTAGACCACCACCCCCTTCTCACACAAATGGAGAGTCTCACTCCACAGCACACACTACCGCATACTGAGGTTAAGACCTTTCATAGGAACACCAACAGCGGAGACAGAAATTAAACCACTTTTCACTAAAAGGCTATTCCTCGAGTTGAGCGCTCCCGCCAAACAGATGACACCAAGTTCCATTTGGAAACCAGCGCCTCTCAGAAACCGTGCCACAGCAAAGCAGGGCAACACACTTACTTGAACAATAGCAGGATCCTGAGGGAGTGTGTGCTGAGCTTTCGGAGGTTCACACACGGTAATATCTTTGATATCGCTTCCCCGGAAAATGATGTACTCATAGATTTCCTCTCTTGGGGGGGCCGGCCTATCTGTGGGACGGTCTTCAGTACCAAAAGACCTCACTTCGGAGTTGAGAGAAAGAACCATTAGGTTATCGTCCTCGGCCAAGGGCGCTCCATCCACCCTCTCCACTGCTGCTCTCAAGCATTCCACGACCGGCCCTGCCCCGCACACTATCCACAGGAGAGCACTTGCGGTCCACCTTCCGACAACTACCCCACCCCCCAATTTCCAATGGCCAATACCTACAAGACCCCACTTGGCAATGCTCCAAAAGGTTCTAGGTCACAAAGACAACAAGTTAACGACATCCGAGCCTGACAACCCCGTGAAGTTTAACATTCTCAAGTGTGAACATGGGAAGCCCAGTGCCCTCAGCAAACCAGGTCAGCTTTGCAGAGCACCCCTGTTTACACCTGACTTCAAAGATTAAGCAGCCCGACAGCTGCTTTTTGCCTGAAGCCTCATCCCACGTCGTCACCCCTGGGAGTTTGTTTTGCTAGGAGGGAGTTGTTTTGCTAGGAGAGAAGCCTGGAGGTTGTTACCCTCATCCTCCCACAACCTGCCTAGGGAGGAGCTATTACAGAAACACCGGCAGAAGCAGGCCCACAACCTGGACCCACAGCACCAGCTTGTGTGTGCCCAAAGGCCTTCTCGGGGTTGTGGACCCTTACCAGCAGGGATTAAAGTCTCTCCAAGTCTGTCCTCCTTCAGTCTCTGGGGCAGAGCTGGGCTTGAAGCAGCCTCTATTTAACCTGAGCACAACTCCTGCCAAGGACAGAGACTCTGGGCCTCAGTTTCTCCAATGGGGATCTCATGTCAAACATACTCAAGTGCCAAGAGTACACGTCAGCACATACCCTTGTCGGTAATCCTGAATTCTCCCCTGGAGCAGTACGAACGGTCTACCCTAGAACTTGGGAGCGCTATGCTTTAGGACACTCCCAAAGTTTGGAACGACGGCGTCCTGAAGGCCTAGAGCTCCCTCTGACAGAAGAAGTGTGCAAGCTGAGCCCTGATCCTTGAAAGCCTAGCAAGACCCATCAAACAAACAGGGTTTCTGCAGACCTGGCTGCATTCATCACCGCTCTCTAAGAGGCTAGGGTAGGACACTCGCCATCTTCCCTGGAGGATGAAGACAAAGAAACTTTGGAGCCACCTCCTGCCACAACAAGCTGGGAAAAGATTCTGGACTCCTCTAGAGCCACAATACACCCTTCTGCCCCTAAGTCTCCCGGGGGCTTCGGTGTGGCCACAACGTCTGCATCAGGGCAAGAGAGCGCTTTAAGCGGGGGCACCTAGCTGCCGACCGATGCTCCCACCCTGGCAGGAGGTTCCATTAAGACGTGGTATTTGTTCAGGCTCAAGGCCCCAGCTGCTTAATAGGTTCCAGAAGGGCTTGCAGGACTAGTGTTCTGGGGAGGCCCCGGGGAGCCTCAAGCCCCTCGCCCCGCCCCTCCTCCGCAGGGACCCGGCTTTCCGCGCCCGCCCGGCTACACCGGCCCCCCACCTGCAGAGGTGGGCTGAGCGAGGGAGGGGGCGGCGCGGCGGGAACCGGACCCGCCCCCACCTCCCCTCCCCTCCCTCGGGCTGGGCGGGCCGGCCGCGCACAATAAG